TTTCACAGAGTCTGGTAAAAAGATAAACTTCCACCAGTAAAAGTCACCTTCCTCTGAGAAAAAAATTCTCAATTTCATCGTTCAAGTTGTGTATCTGGGCTTATGTGTCCCATCCTATATGAAAGCTCCTTAAATAAATTCAAGTCAAAGAACCCAATAACAACAAAACCCGTATTGGGTTATAGTGCAGGGAAGATTTACATTTTGTAAGAATTAGTTCTGTTGTTTCCCTCAGAAGGAGAATAATAAATAGACACACTCGTGAAAGGTTTAGGTGAGAGACGTTCTGTTAAATACATAGGAGAGATGTGGCCTCAAGTACCAAAAAGCAATGTAAGAAATGGGCAGTCAATACTGCATATCAGCTCGGGGCAATAGTCACTGCAGTGACTACAACCTGTACAGCCAGACCCAGCACAGCTTTAAACAGAACAAGCTGGATTCTTGAAAGTCTGAGAGTTAGTACCTCCTGCTCTTTCTGGCCTGATAAGAACTACTGCTTCAAAAGGAGAAAAACTCTCAAAGAACATTTTTTGAAAGAACAATTTTACTCTATTTGAGGGTTTCAGACTGTAAACTTCAGTCAGATCCCTGCTCCCCAGATGCATGCCTAGGCCTCTGTACTACTCTCTTCAGACTTGTCCTATTTTTTTGTAGAGACCACTTCTACGTTTACCATGCTGACCATTGCTTGTTTTGAGGCACTCAGAATTGCCATTTTATATTGTATGTGCACTGTATTTAGTGGTAAGTGCCACACAAAGAGGTACTGCAAAAAACTGCTTTCATTTTCACTCAGAAGTGACAGGGTGCATTACATACAGTTCATTAATCTAGATCTAACTTGCTATGATGTGACCCAAAATGCCTTTGCTGTGCAAAAACTAGTGTCTGTATGGGGCAAACACCAAAGGGCACCTGACAAGCTGTCGTCTTCCTCTTCTTGTTGCCTCCCCATAGCCTTTAATAGATTCACCAAAAACACCAATTATCTACAAGAGAAAAGAAGTTTGAGTTGTCAGAAGGTACCGCATTCAAACAGATATTCCAGTATCAGCTCATGCCCCTCCTGTGAGTGCATTTTCGTTCAACGACATGCCCCTTATCAGTCTGATGTGTCAAGAATAGAAGAGTTTATGAAAGAAAACAGTGTAAGGAAAATTCCTCTGTATTTCAGTGCTCTTCTTTACAGTCACATAGTAAATGTCTAAAATAAATCCTAGTAATATCTTCCATTTGTACCGTCCCCTGAGACTATGACATTTTAATCTCTCTTCTTACTGTATGTTTTCTACTTTACTGACATTTTGTGTAAAAAGGAAAAAGCATGAAATATCCAAGGCATCTTGTCTCCTCCAAGACAGTATGTTTCAAAGTTTAAAATGCAAATGCACTCCCCTTCATGTTATCAAAAAAACACTAGTTTAAGAAATTCAATGATTTTTTTTTTTTCAGATCTATAAAGCCAGACCAAATTAACCTAGTTTTAAACTTTAAAGTTGGTTAGAAAGGGAGGGTGATTTTTACTGTATAAGTACTGGAGAGAAGTTTTAATTCTACAAACTTTTTCCAAAGCAGTCTTCACTTTTATTCTAGTGACAACTTGTCACTTCATTTCTAGGTTATCCTCAGTGGCATCTGTGGCAACCTTCTTTGAAAGCTATTCCATGCATTTCTTGTTTTGCCTGAAGTAGTGGTTTTTAAAATCTAGTTTTAGATTGATTTTTGTTTACATCTAGCTATCTTATGTGACTGTGATCACACGGCTGTTCTCTTTCTCTTTTCCTGTTAGCCACAGGAATGCTAACCGTGTTTCAAATTAAGAGTTTAAATTCCTGGATACTTATGCAGTGCTTTGCAGAATGACAGAACCCTAGTGAAGTGTCACAACAGAAAAACTGTGCTGAGGAAAGGCAGGAGGCTAGATCTACAAAACTTAAGTGGGACCAGTTGCCTCCCTGACCAGCAGAACTCCTTAAGGACTACATTTAGGCACTCAGGTATGTCTATAAGACTTTCTGTATGGAGACAGAAGCACATGCTCTGAAAGGGCAGACACTGTTGTTGCATCAGTTGTTGTGCTGTGGTACACTCACTTAACTTGACTTTCAGCAGGCTAATTCACTCAGGCTCAGTGCTTGCATTAACTTGTCCTAATAAAGGCTCCAATTTGGAGCTGACCCACCTCTGGCCAGCTAAAAGCACAGGCAGATCTGCTGGTGTTTGCCTGCTAAGCACCACGTGGATCTTCCTGTAGATCTGCTTGTGAGATTCCTTGTGCAAACTTTTGACTCAAAGAGAGACAGTAACTACTGAGAAACATAAACTTATGACTAAGGTTCAAAAACCAACCTCAGGGTGAGATCTGCATTTCTCCAGGGCATGTCCATAGACCTTACTTGGACTAGAAGAAGAGAATAGCTCTTTAAAAATCACATAGAACAAACCACCTGTAACAGAAACAACATCAAATGGAATGAAAACTAATCAAACCAGATGGAATTAATGAAAAGAATCTTCTGATAAAAAATATAATTTTTAAAATTAACCTGTAACACCAATTCCGACAAGCACCACAATAAAATAGGTAAAGTCTCTTCCAGCTTCTTTCACTGAAATAAACAGAAAACAACGCAGGAGTTAAAAACTTGGGTAGTAAGACTTGCATAGCTTTCTTATATAAATGCTCTTCTATTAGTCTGCAGCTCAAATAACATTTTGGCAGAAGAAAAAATTCCAGCAACAGCTTCCATAATGCCTCATCACTAAAAGAAATAGACCACGGAACATCTCTGTGCTGGTTTGGGCTGGGGTAGACTTCATTTTCTTCCTAGTAGCTAGTATGGGGCTATGTTTTGGATTTGTGCTGAAAACAGTGGTGATTAACACAGAGATGTTTTAGTTACTGCTGAGCAGTGCTGACACAGGGTCAAGGCCTTTTCTGCTTCTCATACCACCCCACCCCACCAGCAAGTAGGCTGGGGGTGCACAAGAAGTTGGGAGGGGACACAGCTGGGACAGCTGACCCAAACTGACCAAAGGGATATCCCACACCATATGACGTCATGCTCAGCATAGAAAGCTGGGGGAAGAAGAAGGAAGGGGGGCATGTTTGGAGTGATGGTGTTTGTCTTCCCAAGTAACTGTTCCGTGTGATGGATCCCTGCTTTCCTGGAGATGGCTGAACACCTGCCTGCCCATGGGAAGGAGTGAATGGATTCCTTGTTTTGCTTTTCTTGCGTGCGTGGCTTTTGCTTTACCTATTAAACTGTCTTTATCTCAACCCACGAGTTTTCTCACTTTTACCCTTCTGATTCTCTTCCCCATCCCACCAGGGGAGAGTGAGCGGGTGGCTGTGTGGTGCTCAGTTGCCGGCTGGGGTTAAACCACAACAGTCTCTTATGCTGTGTAGAGCATATTTATATCTCTGTATTAAGCCTTATTATTTTCTGTTTTCCTACTAGATGTTTTCAAGACTCAGGATAGCATTTACTGCTACTTTTCGTGTACATGAGAGCTAGTTGTTTTTAAGAACCAATGAGGCGTATAGCACTGCAGTATTCAAGCTACCATATAAACCCACAATCATTGCAATCCTTACGCAGAGAGAGGGAGAAGTAAAAATAAAAAAGCATAAGCTTATAAATTGCACTGACTGAAAATAACTGATTTTATGAATTCTCAATCAAGTGAGCAATAAAAAGGAGGGGTATTAGTCCAAAATATGTATGTTATTTATTGAGACTGTTAACTGCAGTTAATCTGATCAGTTTTGATCTAAGTGTCAGTATACACTCCAAAAAAAGTCATATGAGATTCTCTGTTACAAAGTATTTTTGAGAACTTGGAAAGAGACTACTGATTTAAGTGATAAGGCGTGCCTCTCAGTGAAGTGCAAATTACCAAGGAAACTTGAATAACCATTTCTCCTGCAGCCTTCTGATCAGTTGAGGATGTTTTTCATAAACCTTTTCAAAGCGCTTAGAATTTCTGAGGCTAATCACGTAGTAACCACTTTTCACTGAAGTGAATGAGACCAACTAAAGTGACAGCCATCCTATAAAGAACCTAGTACCACAGGTAGAGCTTTTGACAATTTTGCTGGAAGTAAACTTTTTTTAACAGCATCGAGACAGGTTGTGTGATAGGTTTTCCTTTTGAAAATGGAAATGAGAGGCTATTACATCTTATCCCTGATGTGAGCTAAACACTAAATTAACAAGCTGTTTGGAAGAAGTCACAAAATTTCTGTTCTGCTTGTGCAGTACATACACTGAAACGTATCAACTGCTGCAAACAATACGGTGTGAAAAGGAAAGAGCTTGTTGGGTTTTCTGCGAATTGTTTGGTTTTCGGTTTTTTTCCAATTCCTGAGTTTTGGGGCTCTCAAATCTCAGCTGCAGCAGTAGTTTTCTCCGTGCCAGCCTCTGAGCGATGCTCAGTATTCGCACTCACGAGTGACCACAGCCCGTCTTACCTTTCTGCGCAGCCGACAGCAGAGTTTCTTCTTTCCGACCCCTTTGCACGGACACGTGTTTGCTGTTATCGCCAGGTTTTTCAGATCTCGGCCCCCCCGCTTGCGTCCCGATACTCCGCCGGGCGGCCCGGAGCAGCGGGGCGGGCTCCCCGAGGGGGAGCTGG